AGGGTTGGAAGCTGCGTATCAGTCCTGCTGACCAGACGGACCTGGGGGGCGTCTCAGCAGGAGTAGCAGTGGGCGTTCGTCAGCACATAGGCGTCAGTGAAGTTGCAGGTGGAGCACGGCACCTTCGCCATGCGCGTTCAACGATTGTGTGGGTCAGTGGTTGTGTGCGTGGTGGTTTTTCTGCATGCGTTCACTGCGCTTTCCTGATGGAGAAGGGGTCAAAGGAGCAAAGGGTAAACAACTGCTCAATCAGCTGGGGGAGTTTCTCTATAGTTCCCAGAAGCCTTTTGTGATAGCTGCTGACTGGAACGACGCGCCCTCGGCCCAGAAGATGCCTGTCTTGGGAAAGCTTAGAGCCGCGGTAGTCAATTCGGGGAAGCCAACATGTCGAGTAGGCAAGGTGCGGCGTGCACTTGACTACTTTGTCGTTTCGCACGATCTTGCTGGGGAAGTTCGGGCGTGCGTCAGGCGAGAAGATTCCAGCAACAGGACCCATTATCCAGTTTCACTTAGGCTAGGGGACGATGGCACATCAGAGGACTCAGAAGGCGCTGAAGGCGCCGAAGCCTTTTCCGCTAGATAAGCCCACAGGTCCAACACCGCCGCCACAGGACTGGACCAATTTCGAGGGCAAGTTTGAACGGCTGCGACGACAGCCATCGCGCGCGGAGTGATCTGTGCTCGATGGGGAGATGTGTGACTCCATGGAGCGGGGGCTGTGCGACGCGCTAGGCATCGAGGCTACTGAGCGCGCGAAGTACTGCGGTCGGGGTACTAAGTTCCAGGTGGTCGAGAAGCCAGTCTTGCAGAAGCACGTTCCGGGTTCTTTCCACGGTGCAGTCAGGGGCCCAGGATGCTCAGGAGATATCAGGTTTGGCTGGAGGAGCTGGCTTATCTTCGTGGGAAAGAGCACTCTTGGGATTCGGCTGGGGCTCAGGATCTAGTCCGGAAGCTCGGGGCCCCAGTAAAGGTACCCGGCAGTATTCCAGAGTGGGTGCGTTTTAAGCAAAGCTTTCAGCTGCGCGCCGCCGTCTCCCACGTGGAGCTGCAGGGCGCCTTGGCGGCCGTTCGGGCCATTGCAGATGTCGAGGAGTCGAGCGCCCGGACGAAGAAGCCTCAGCAGTGGAGGTTAAGAGCCCAGGACCTGAACGTGCAGCTCGGGGAGCCCCCTCCTGCGCCCACGGCGCCAGAGGTTCGAGAGGCCATTCAGAAGTTCAAGAAGAACACGGCGATGGGGACAGACGGCTGGAACCCAGGGAACTTGAGACAACTGAGTGATCAAGGTCTGGCAGTTTTCGCTGAGTTCTTATCTTTTGTGGAGACGTATCTAATTATTCCAGAGCAGTGTCACGTGGCGTTCATCGCCTTTTTGAAGAAACCCGATGGTGGGTACCGCCCGATCGGCATCTTGGCCACGTGCGCGCGGCTGCTTGGTCGCATTCGACACTCGGAGGCCCAGCAGTGGGGGCGCGAGCGCCACCTTGAGTGCGCATATGGCTCCAAAGGCAAGTCTTGCGAACAGTCAGTTTGGAACAGGCGGCCCAAGCAGAGGTGGCCAACGCTATCGGGGCGTTTTCAGGTTCGGGTTTGACCGATCTTGAGAAGGCGTACGAAAAATCATCCACCTGACGTGCGTTGGGCCGCCTGCCAGAAGCATCATTTTAGTCTTCGACGCGCTCGCCTGCTGATAATGGTGTATGGAGGGCCGAGGATGATTAAGATTCGAGAGGTGGTTTCGAGTATATTCACGATCGCTTGTTCGATTCTAGCGGGGTGTTCGTTCGCTACGACCATGTTGCGCGTTGTGATGTATGACCCGCTTGTGTACATGCAGAAGTACTGGCCACTACTATCCCTGTATGCAATGGCAGACGATATCACGGTCTCGGCGCTCGGATCGGAGAAGTTCGTCAGAGAGTCCCTGTCTAGAGCTCCCCCAGCACTTTGCAAGCCATTGCGCGAGATGGAGTTTTCAGCGTCTAGGAAGAAGTGCCAGATCGTCGCGTCGTCCAGCAACTTGGCGCAGGATCTCGGCGCCAACCTCAAGGTTTTAAATTTCAATGTGTGTTCGAGTTGCAAGAACCACGGGCACGACTTCAGCCAGCAGGTAAGGAAAGGTAAGAGAGTTCTGAAAGGCCGCGTGAATAACCTCCGCAAGAGATCTCATCGGTTCCGAGCCCTCCGACACCACAGGCGTGGGCTCCCTAGAGTGTTCCGAGCGGGAGGCCTCGCTTCGGCTTCGTTTGGGGTCAGGGCATGTGGCATGAATGATACAGATCTCTCTAACCTCCGAGCGGCATCGGCCTTCGCCCTCGTTGGCAAGCCCAAGGGTAGGTCCAGGGCGGTGCAGTACTTGTTGCACGACCCGCCCGACCTCGACCCAGCGTACCTGATAAACACCCTACCCCTCGCGACGTGGCTCCAGGCTCTCCATGAAGGTTGGGCTCCTCAGGGCGTTATGCAGACTACTTTTGAGGCTGGCATGTCCAAGATCAGTCTGGGATGGGCTACCGTGCGTGGCCCAGGGGGAGCTGTTGCACTGACATTGCGTCTTCTTGGGTGGCAAATCAGGTCTTTCAAGCTTTGGGCTCGAGGTTGGACCTCGAGAAGGTTAGTATCAAGACCCTCAAAGCGCTCATCCACAGGGGCCTCAAAAGGCACCAGGAGCTGCAAGCGGCTAGACACATGGGCTGGATTGGGACCCCCTTCTTGGACCCGATCAAGGCAGAGCTGCAGGTTCTTCGGGCCAAAGGTCATCCAGTATCAGCAGATCTCGTTTCAATACACATGTCAGGTGGATTGTGGACGCAGTCCAAGCTCTTCGAAGAGCGTTATTCCTTGTCGTCCGCCTGCAGGTGGTGCGGACACCCGTCAGGCTCGATACCTCGCAGATTTTACGGCTGCGACGGCTTAGAGGCATGGCGTCGCGATCAGGGCTATGATGATGTCGTGTCGGTCGGTCGGGGGTTCCCCGGCAACTGCTTGGTTGACTTCGGGGTCACAGGCAGTATGAGAGACGCCATGCCTCCGCCCTTGCAAGGTCACGAATGCCCTCAGCGCGGTCTCCTAGGATGCGGCTACCTCGGCGAAGAGATCTTTATAGACGGCTCGGGAGCACCAAGATGCGGAGTGGATGACGAGGGCCGGATGGGCGGTCGTATCTCTCAAGCACGGCAGCGAGCAAGTTTCATCGGTGGCCTACGGGCCAGTGCCAGGGCCTGCGCAGAGCGCGGGCTTGGCAGAGCATTACGCGTTCTACATGGCATTATGTCTCATTGGGCCCAGGGCGACCATTATCACGGACCACAAGAACCTCCTGATAGGTCTCCAGAAGGGCCCCGAGAAGATGTGTAGAGCTTCAGAACCGTATTGGGAAGTCTGGCGACTTATATTCTGGAAATTGAACGATGTGGGGTCAGAGAATGTGAATCTTCAGTGGATGCCGCCTGATAAAAGCAGAACGTGGCTTAAGAATCACGATTTCTCGGGCTCCCGGTACCCTGGAAATTGGCAGGCTGATAAGTATTTGAGGTTGGGGGCTCTAGAGCATCCAGTAGTTCCCCAGCTGGATCAACGGATCCAGGCGGCAAAGGATTTCGGCAGGCAATTCACGAGGCTCCTGGCAGGCACTCTGAGGCGCCTTAGTACTTTCTAGGATTTCCAGATGTGGGCAAGGTCCCGAGGGCTACAAAGGTCCCCAGGCAGACCCAGATGTTAGTTGATGAACCCTTGTGCGTGCTAAAACACACCACGGGGGATCGAGGCCACCTGCTACACAACGCTGATGGCAGGCGGGGTTGCAGAATTTGTGGAGTGAATGCGGCTCGGCGGAGTGCAATCATCCAGAATGAGTGCCCAGGCAAGCCGAGGGTGCTTGCGCGGACGCACGAGTCGCATCGTATGTGGGTGCTTGGCTCGGATTTGTATTTCTGCATGCAGTGCGGTTGCCACGCGCGGAAGCAGGTCAAGGACTTGGCCCGCGCGCTGCCATCGCTTTGCTGGGACTGGGAAGGTAGGGGCATTGAAGTGCATGCGCCAGGGCATGGATCCCACATCCAGGGTGTTGGTGGGGCGCCCCTTCCCAGTCCACTAATCTTCCCCATCGGGCCAGTCTTTCACCGAGGGATTGTGTCCGCGGAGGCTCCAGAGTCTCCAGAGGAGGAGGAGGAGGAGGAGGAGGAGGAGGAGGAGGAGGAGGAGGAGGAGAGGAGGAGAGAGGAGGAGAGGAGGAGAGAGGAGGAGCCAAGGGGAGTGGGCAGATGAGAGGGAGGCGGACGAGGAGGAGGAGCAGGAGGAGGAATGAGAGGAGGAATGAGAGGAGGAGGAGGCGGCGGAGGAGGAGGAGGAGGGGGAGGACGGAGAGGAGGAGGAGGGAGGAGGAGCGAAGGGGAGGAGGAGGATGATGATGATGAGCAGGAGGAGGCGGAGGAGGAGGAGCAGGAGGAGGAGACGGAGGAGGAGGAGGAGACGCAGGAGGAGGACGGAGAGGAGGAGGGGGGAGGAGCTGAGGAGGAGGAGGAGGATTTACGAAAGGGAGAGGAGGAGAAGCGAAGGAGAGGAGGAGGAGCGAAGGGGAGGGCAAGGAGGAGGAGGACGAGGACGAGGAGGAGGGGGAGGGGGAGGACGAGGAGGAGGAGGAGGACGACGACGAAGAGGAGGAGGAGGAGGAGAAGGCGGAGGAGGACGGAGAGGAGGAGGAGGAGATGGAGGAGAAAAACGACAAGAATAAGAAGAAACATAATAAGAATACTAAGAATAAGAAGATGACTTTCTTTGTCTTACATGTATGTCCCGCTCCTCCGTCTGGCCGTTCCTCCTTTCCTCTCCGCCTATTGGCTGTTGTTCCGCCCTCCCCCAGCACGGGCTGGGAAGAGGTGCCATCGCGGGCGTCAGGGCATCGTGCCGCTTAACACTGGCCCGCAGTCCGAAGGAAGAGGGAGGATTGATAGAGGAGGGGCGAGCCCCTTATCTCTATCCGCTGCCGGCCGCTGGCGGGCCAGGGCTTCGCGAAGAAGAAGGCGCGGTCGTTCCTCGAGCCGGCGGGCCAGGGGGGGAGGGGAGCGCGGACACGAGGAAGGAGGGGTTGGAGGCAGGAGGAGGAGGAGGAGGAGGAGGAGGAGGAGGAGGAGGAAGAAGAGGGAGGACGGGGAGGAGGAGGAGGAGGAGGAGGAGGAGAAGGAGGAGGAGGAAAAGGAGGAGGAGGAGGAGGAGGAGGAAGAGGAAACATAACATTACGGCGAAAAATATTCACTATGATCACAACAACAAGAATACTATTACTACTACTACTACTACTACTACTACTACTACTACTACTACTACTACTGCTACTACTACTACTACTACTACTACTACTACTACTACTACTCCTACTCATACTCCTACTACTACTACTACTACTACCACTACTACTACGACGACGACGATTACTACTACTACTACTACTACTACTACTACTACTACTACTACTACTACTACTACTACTACTACTATTACTATTACTATTACTATTACTACTACTACTACTACTACTACTACTACTACTACTACTACTATTACTACTACTACTACTACTACTACTACTACTGGTACTAATAATGCGAATACTAACAATAACATTAATAATGACAATAATATTAGTACGACTGGTAATAATACTGATAATAAGCATGATACTAATACTGCGAATGCTAATAATATTGATACTAAGCCTGATACTAATACTACCATATTAATAGTAACACAAATAATAAATATAACAATTCAGACTAGTACACTTCATACTAACATGTAAGACTAATACCTATCACAATGATTATATGAAGTAAACTCATTCTAGTAATGATACCACTGATATTAATACGAATACTAATTCTAGTAATAATACGAGTAGTAATAAAACAGCAAGAAGAACCATACGACAACTACTACGGCACATATTATCTCGAAACAACAACACTACCACGAACACCGCGACGAAGCATACACATACGAATACATATACTAATACTATTAATACTATGGCGAACGCGAGGCATACGAGAACTAAGACTACTACGCAGAAGGCGAGGGAGGAGGAGGAGGGGGAGGAGGAGGAGGAGGAGGAGGAGGAGGAGGGGAGGAGGGAGGGGATGAGGAGGGGAGGGGGATCCTTGTCGTTCTCCTTTGCCTTCCTCCAGCTTTACCCTCAGATTCCCTCTCCTGTTTCTCTCTCCTCCTCCTCCTCCTTCTCCTTGTCTTCCTCCTCCCTCCTCCCTCCTCATGGCTCAAGACTTTCTCTGGCCCAAGGGGAGGATCCGCGTTGCTTGTACCGACTCCTCCCTGTCCGGCCGCTCGCGCGTTCAAGCTGAGTTCTCGCCCCGATATTACTTCCCTGCTTCTCTCATGGTGCCACAGCCAGGTGTTGACGGCACGAATCGCAGGCCATGGGTGCGTTTCGCCGAGCTTCTTTCAGACGACGAAAAATGTTGGCAGCGTGTGGAAGGCTTTAACGTGGTAGCGTTGGCCGTCGCAAGAAGAAGCGGCGTTGGCCATGTTGCAAGGAGGTTTCTGGATGGACGTGGGATCGCATCTTGCGCCGCAAGCCCGATTGCATGCACTGTCACGCACATCTCGAGCCAGGTTCCCGGTCTGCACAAGGAGTCACCACAAAAAACTGTTGCAGGACGCATCCCGCCAGAGACCATGGCAAAGTTGCGAGAGATCGTGGCTGGTTTGCCATCCAAGCAGGCGAAGGGCTCCTGGCGCTGTTTCAGTCTGAGGTCAAGCGTACGGGGCCCACAGGTGCCAGAGGCAGAGTATCAGACGGCAGAGGTTGCCAAGTGTCAGGCCAGTCGTGCTCTTCAGGCTGCCTGGGGCGCTCGCTGCCGCATCGAGAAGCAGGTGGGGGCGGCTTGTCGTCGAGAGGAGGAATGCCTTCTTGCTGAGCAGAAGTCGGAGGCTGCCTTGTCCGAGGCAGTGCCGCGCGTTGCCGCCAGGGTGTTGCCGAAGGCCCAGCATGAAAGTGCACTGCATCTTGCTCGCCCGATACCACCCCAAGATTTGTCCAGGCCGCGCGTTTTCGTGGTCCGTCCGCCTGGCCCGCCCGCTAGAGTCCGCCCGCCAATGCGCCCGTCAGGGGCCGCGCGTCCAGTCTGCGCATTCGGGCCCGCCCGCCCGCCCCGGCCGCCTCCGTAGCCATTTTGGTTCAAGTTCGATTGTTTGCGTCTTGGCCATCGAACTTGGTCGCAGCCGCGAGGCGAGGCTCGAGGGGAGTCTCGCGGTCGACAGGCGACCAGGACCGCGCCTGCCTGCCCCCCCCCGTGGCCAGCCCAGTCAGCGGACGTGCGGATGCCGCCAGGAGGTGCCCGCGAACGTCGTGTCAGCCTGGCCCTCTCCGACAGCTCAGTGGCGCGGCCTGGGCAGGCGCACCGCGTCGAGGAGCTGATGGAGCAGCTCGCGGCGTCGGTGGGCCCAGAGCAGCGGGCGCCCCTCGCGCAGCTGGAGGCGACGCTCGCGCCCGTGGCCCCTCAGCCTGCACAGCGGGCGTTGCTGCTGGAGGCGGGGGCGGCCGCCGCCAGCATGCGCCTGCGGCGGGCGGGGGCGGCCGTCAACGCGGCGGCGCAGAAGATGGTTGAAGCCGAGCAGCGGCTGGGGGTCGCCAAGGCGGAGTGCGACGCCGCCGTCGCCGAGATCCAGGATGCAAGGGCGGGCCTAGAGCAGGCGCTCGAGGCAGCGGGGGCGAGGGCAGGCCTCGGCGAGAAGGGCGAGCACAGGCAGACCAAGGATGGGGCGCAGAAAGGGTGGGCTCGACCTGTCGGCGCTGCACGAGGGCCTAGCGGTCTACAACGGCGACACGTTCGACATGCAGGACGGGGACATCGAGCCCAGCGAGCGCGAGGCCTACGAGCAGTTCAAAGTGCAGCTCCAGGAGCAGCCACGGTCGGCAGCCTAGTCGCTGTTCGGGCCAGGGGCGGCGGAGCCCGAGCGCAAGAGGCAGGGGGGGGGGCGCAGTCCCGGCGCGACCGCCTCGCCACCAAAAGACGACGGAGCTTGCCGGCAGAACGGCCAGGGGGCGCGGCTGGAGCTGCCGGGGGCGCAGGCAGCGCTGCGGCCATCTGCGCCTGGCGACGCGCCGGGCACTGCCCCGCCAGTGTCGCGTGACGGGCCAGAAGCTGCTGCTCAGCCTGCTGCCGACCTCCCCAAGCGCGGCCGCGGCCCAGGAGGCGCCGCCGCCAAGCCTGCCAAGGATGACGATGGCGACGCCAGAGCAGCCGCTGCCGCCGAGCGCGCGCGGGGGCGGGGACCTAGCGGCGCCGCTGAGCCAGAAGCCGCGGTCGCTGCCGACGCCGAGCACGGCGGCGGCGGCGGCTGGCGCGGGTGGGGCAGACGGCCGCGGCGCAGAGGATGGCGCAAGCGAAAGCGAGCTGGGCTGACCCCCCCTCTTGTCTGCCGGGCTGGAGTTGGGGGCCGCGACGGAGACGGCGGGGGCGCCCGCGGGGGAGATGCGCTCGAGGGGCAGGCCCAGCAGGAACGCGTCCGCTCGGGCAGAGGTCGCGGGGAGGCTGGGGCCCCGCGACGCGGGGCCTCGGCGAGGTGGTCTGGAGGCTCGGGCGCGCCTACTTCGGGGCGTTCGACCACGCGCGCGACGGCCGCTGCGCACGCGACGCCAGCAACGGCCTTCGCCACCTCTGCGACGGCAGAAATGGCAGTATCTACTTGCTCTGGGAAGCGGCGTCTTGACCGAAAGTGCCAGGTCCAATCGGTCAGCGTGACTAGCTGGTCCAGCATGCTCACGCAGCTGGGGGGGCAGCGGTTGCCCACGTGTATTTCGGCAGTGCTTCTCCAGGAGCATCACCTGGACGACTCTCGCGTTGAGGGCGCCATGAAGACTGGGATGGAAGTGCGACTTGCACCCTGCGAGGCGAGAGGATGTGGAGGCTCGGCAGGCGGCGTTGGGGTCATCGCCAGGCCGCGGGCGGCAGTGCGGCGCCTCGAGTTCCAACTCGACTGGGCCCACGCTCCCTTCACGGTTCGGCAGGGTTTTTTGTCTGACGGACCTGGGGCCGAAGGAGGGGTTGCTGCTGGTGTCCGTGCGCCTGCGTGCGAGCAAGGAGCTGGGCGACGTTGACCTGGACATCCTGTCGGATATTCGGGCTATGCTGCGCGCTGCAGACCGACTCTGCGCCATGGGAGGCGACTGGCAGATGCCCCGCTCGACGCTCGGCCAGCCCCGCCGGGGGGCGCCAGCCCCGCCCGAGGCTGAGCCCGCCTGCGTCGCTGCCAAGAGCGCCAGGGCCATCGACTACTTCGTGGTTGGCCGATGCCTGGCCGGCGGGAAGGTGCGCATCACTGGCGATCTGGCGGTGGCCACGCACAAGGGGGTGGTCTACGTGCTGGACATCGCGGCCCGGCCGCGCGAGGCACGCGCCATGCACGGGGCCAAGCCGTTCGCCGTTGGCGCCGCGATTGGACCACGGAGGCCCACGCCCGATTCCCCTTCCCTCATCGACGGCGACGGGGGCCCACAGGCCAGGCGGGCCGCGAGCCGACGGCAGGGTGACGATGGCTACGAGCACATGATGGACGGCAAGTTTCAAGCCTATCTCCGCCAAGACGAGGGCGAGCTGGTGGAGTATTATGGCTTTCGCGACGACGAGGACAAGTATCGGGGCCGAGAGCACGGGTTCAAGTACGCGACGATCATGTTGGACATGCACAGGAGAAACAGGGCACGGGCGGGTGGTGCGCCCAGCCCTGCCGCCAGCCACTGGCAGTTCATGGCCGACCGAGTACACGAGTGGCGACTTCGTCGAGCACGCGCGGGGGGCATTGCTGCCCTTTGACGGCCGCGGGCTCTCCACGTCCGGCTCCTGAACTTCAGGCCGACCACAAACGCCACCTCGAAGCCTGAGACTTGGGCTCGATGGCGGAAGGGAGTTCGGCACCTCAGCACCGCCAGGGACAGCGAGTTGGACCAGCTGGAAGAGGAGCTTCGCACATGTGCGAGATGGGCAGCGGATGTGGATTGATTGGTTCAGGGGCCCGACCAGGCAGGACG